TAGAGTAGCACATTCTTTCAACTTTATTTAAGGGCTCGTTCCCATTGAGACTATAGGTCTACGTACGATAAGCTCGATCCAACTCCCCGGAGACTCTCGCGATATGCCGTCAGTGTTGCAGTTTAACACTTGAGTAGAATACAGAAAAGCCGATGATTACACGACTGCTTTGAAACAAAAGGGTGCGTTTTATTGTGTTAAACTGATCGCACTCAGAGAGAGTCCCTGCGGAGTTGGATCGATCTAGGGAGACCGATAGTTTCAATGGGAATGAGCTCATAATCTATTTTTATATAGATACCGACTGCCAAGCCTGAGGTAAAAGGATCGGAAGTGTGGAGACGACAGATCCCTACAGGTACCGGGACGCGATGTGGGAATCTTGATTCCGCTGGTGACGGCTTTGTGGCGGCAAACTGTGGTGGCAGATCAAGCTGGGGAACGTTCATCCAAGGGACATAATCGAACGGCGTGAAGATCCAGCAAGCCCGTATAGTGGTTTTCATGGACTTTGGTTGACTGAAATTCAGAAGTGTTCTTCAATTTTGCCTGATATAACATTATCTGAAATTTCCTTTCTACACGTACATGTAGGTACATGTAACATGTGCAAGAATCACCATTTTGAGAATCCGACTCTGATTCAAAGATAATAAAACTAAAAGGACACTTTAATCTATCCTTTTCGTGAATTGTTAGACTGTATATTCCTTTGAGCGAAAGAAAATAACATCTTTGCGGCTGGTTTTCTGGTAAAACAGACTAAATATAACAATTATAAGCATATTAGCAAGAATCACGTACTAATTTAGATGTTAATACCGTATTTGTCACAGTTCTGAGCTTTTGATCCAAAGTTTGTCCCATCAACGTGTACATCAATTTTATGCTCAAAGTTTATCAGAAATTCAAACATCCCCCTTAACGACAATGGCGATAGTTAAAAAAGAAATAAAATAACCCTTTTGAATAATCTTGTGGTTACTTTTGCCTCATTGAGGCTTCATTTTTTATCAATTTAAAATCAGTTTTGAAGGTTTGTTTATTTTATTATACATGTACTTGTAAAATATTTGTAAGCAGTGTTGAAATACGGGGAATGATTTATAATAAAACAAAATATGGCCCCTAATTGCATAACGATTTTAGATGTTACAACATTAAATAGTAGGTAAAATAAATCAACGTCCCTTGTTACCTACACAAATTATAGAAGTGTTTTCCAGGTTAATTCTTTTCAAAGCAAGATATCTCAAATATCTACATCATTAACTTCAGATCTTAATTTTGGCGTAACGCAACCTAAATATCGATTGCCTTTTTTGGGGTGTTATCTGAGCCTCAACATCAGTAAACACCCACATCGTTTCAAGCAAAAGGTAATTTAGTGAGAAATCCCTCTGGGATGGGTCGATCCTGCTAGATCGATCTAGGTATGGGAATGGGGTCTTAGTTGTCGATTACAAAATTATTGTATCTGTACTTTAATTTTGTCTACCATGTTAGAAGCCCCTGATATCAGATGGTAATGTAAATGAGGGTAAGGTTGTAATTGATGGATGATAAAAGCAAAGAACGTCTGTAAACCGTAACAAAAGGCACCGCTCGCCCTCTAAAATACCAAAATCTAAAGGGCCCCGAACCCCACGACAACGAGGCGTGGGGGTGGGGGTGGGTCGGCTTCGCATTGGCAGACCCCCCCCCCTTCAAATAATCCTGGACCCGTCTCTGCGATCTCACCATTTTGTAAAGAGACTAACCTGGAATATAATTCAAATAAATGCGGGTATTTGTCTGAACGAGAATACGCCATTCCTTTTTTACATTATGTAACCTGCATTCTGGGACATTGGAAAACATTTCCAAGAAAAGAGAATGAAGCGCTTTGTATTTTTTAGTCGCATAATATTGCCTCATTATACCGGTAGACGCGTGGCTTATTCCTGAGAGAGACTGATAAAGGACTTGTGATAACGAAAGCTGTAGCATAACAGTTTTAACTTAAAAGTTTATTAGTCTGTTTTTGACAAGACGGAGAAGAAATGTTTCGAATTCTATCTTCCTTGCAAAAAACTTCGGTGTACTTTCTGCCAAGGAGAGGCCTGATGAGCACAGCAATTCAACCGAAGAAGGTGAGAGAATATTAGGTGCTGTTATTAAATATATCTAATCGTGATTAAAAAAGATAAAATACTAGATTGAAATACAGAAATAAACACACACAGGTGGATTTTACAAGAAAGGGTAGCTTTGTACTATACAACACTCACATTGTTACATGGTTAATTTAATGATAATGAATAAATCTAGATATTAAATGCGCGTTGCATTAAGGGTGTTTTTAAAAATAAAAACATTTAAAAATCATAAAAACCAAGAGCGTGAAGAAGCTAGATGATGGTAAGACGTACAGTCAAAAAGTCAAAAAGTAAATTTCTTGATTTTCCTTTTTTTTTCTGCCTAGAAATTACACCAA